CCTCGCTGGGTTCCGCCCGGGCTGGCCCCCGGCGGAGGGGACCTCGCCGTCCTCGTCACGCCTGCCCGGTGCCCGGGCTGGCTCCTGCCCCTCATCCCCAGAGGCAGCTGCGTGGTAGAGCCTCATGCCGGGAGACAGTCCCCGGCCCTCCGTTCATGGAGAGACTCGGGCTCCTCAGAGACAACCTGGGAGCTTGGAAAAAAAACAGCTTTTTAAGGCTAGATTGTGCGTTGGCTGCGAGGATGTGGCATCTCGGGTAACGAGAAGGGTATCTTTTGCTCTGGCGTTTAGCCATCCTTCTATTGCCTGTCTCAAGGTCTATTGTATTTCCTATGTGAACAGGTTTCCATGATCCTGGGGTTGTGCCAGCCAGGTGGTCAACAGCCACTGCTTATAGACTTGGCAACCTCTTCTGCACCCTATTTTCCTCCTACGCACATGGGGAGCGAAGGTATTCTGATCCTGTAGTCCCGGGTGGGATATATGTTCAGTGCAGGTAGAACAAGATTGTTGTGCCTTTTCAGTAATATTTTTTGCAGTTGTTTTTTCTGCTGTGTTTGGTTTTTATCTGGCTATTTGCTGTTTAGGTTGATACGTTCCTCACTTTTTGTTATGTTCCACTTTAGGTGTATTTCTGTAAAAGGAAATTCACAGTTACGGTCTAAGATGAAAAAATATAGTAATACTAATAAAGGTTTTGTTCTCTTTAGGTACAAGCAGCACCCCAGCAAGTGGCTGAAGACAAATTTGTATTTGATTTACCGGACTATGAAAACATCAACCATGTAGTGGTCTTCATGCTGGGAACGATACCATTTCCAGAAGGAATGGGAGGATCTGTCTATTTTTGCTATCCAGACCAGAGTGGGATGGCTGTGTGGCAGCTGCTGGGGTTTGTCACCAATGAGAAGCCAAGTGCCATCTTCAAAATTTCTGGTCTGAAATCTGGTAAGACTGGTGAAATGTAGCAGTCAGTGAAACTGTATGAGTAAGGGGATAAATGTTTGAAGGTGGTTTTGAACAACTGCCTGAAAGGAGGATGCAGAGAGGTGGGGGTCTGTCAGTTCAACCAAGGAACAAGTGACAGCACAAGAGGAAATGGCCTCAAGTTGCGCCAAGGGCAGTTGATATTGGATGTGAGGAAGAATTTCTTTGCTGAAAGGGCTCTCAGGCATTGGAAGGGGTTGCCCAGGGCAGTGGTGGAGTCCCCATCCCTGGAGGGATTGAAGAGTCGTGTAGACACAGTGCTGAGGGACATGGGTTAGTCGGGGACTTGTCAGTGTGAGGTTAATGGTTGGACTCGATGATCTTAAAAGGTCTTTTGCTCTTGAGGCAGTTCTGTGATTCTGTGAAAAAGCTACTTGAAAAGGGAGATCTCTGTGTTTTCAGGTAGTCCCTGGCAGATGTGGTACTAGAAGCAGTCTGTCTGCATGTTAGTGTTCCTAGTGAAATTTCTCACTTGTCTTCTCTGTACGTGGTGCTGATGTGGCTTGAGCAGGCTTGCTGTGTGTTCCAGTACTGCTTCTGCATGGAGACCCCAAGGAAGAATGACTCTGTAACATCCATAGCATGTTTTTCAGGCGTTTGTCTAGACATGCCTGCAATGTTTTCTCTCAGCTTCCACTGTTAAGCGGTTGCATTCTTGGTAGCACAGAGGCAGGTTTTGTAATGAGTCTGGTCTGATGCAGTGATTTCAGCCCGCCAGCCACCTCCCATCCAGGGCAGCTGCACTATGGAGTTCTCCAGTAGAGGGAATCGTCGTTGGAAAGCAGCTTTCCAAATGTTTTAGTATTTTTGATACAGACCTAAATCAGAGAAGTCTGACCCATATGGGAGTCAGAGAATGCTGGTGCCACCTGAAGCAGGTGTGAGTGTTTTTTCCTAAATATATGGGGGGGGTTTTGCCATGCATATTATAAAAATGATGAAGCCCCCCAATGACACACCTTTGTCTTACTGAAGGAATGGATACATCACTCAACCAGCTTTGAGTTTTATTGTGATAAAGTAATACACATCTTTGGTGTAGTCTACAACCTTAACATGAATCTCTGTTTAGGAAGGTATTGAGGTTGTATTAATTCATAATATAGCATGCTTTCTTTTGAATCAGTCGTGGATGGCATCATGACCTGAGATAAGGGCTCTCAAGGTGCAGAGCAAAATGAATTCTGATCATTATGTTCCTCAAAAATTTGGGCTTTCTTCAGAAGAGGGAGCAGCCGCAGGAGGGGTTTTTGGAGGTGTGTTTTAATATATTCCAAAGTTGTGTTGTTAGTGAAACAGTGAAGTGTATCAGCGGTTCTTTTGCCAGCTTTTGCCATATGTTTCTCACGCTTGAAAGACTGTATTATATATGCTTTCGGGCAGCTTTGTGGGAAAACACATTTTCAGATGCTTTTTGCATGATTAGCCCTGATTTCCAAGGAAGGGCAGCTCTCGAGGAAGAGCTCTGTGACACGGTTAAATGCATTTGCAATGCTGTGAGGCAGTGCTGTGTTTGATGGGAACAGCAGAGACCTCCACTGTTCCCATTGTTGTCTGCAGCTTATCTCTGACTGTACAGTCAGTATAAGCTACACAGCCTTAGTTTCCATAAACAATTGTCTGATGGAGAACTCTCTGAGGCTGTTGAAAGGGGAGACCAGAGAGGGATTATTCCAGAGAGCTGGAATCACTGAGAGACATTACTGACTGAAATCTGTGTTTTGGATTTGACTGCCTTGAGCTGGAATCACTGAGAGACATTACTGACTGCTGAAATCTGTGTTTTGGATTTGACTGCCTCAGGCTGATTTTGTGAGCAGGCTGTTGAGAGACCATTATGTATCTGTGAAGTGGACAAGGAGGAGGACAAATGTCAAGGGTATGTCCTTCAGCAAACATTGGGGTGCTCTGGTGTCTCCTGATTCAAAGTCATAGGTAGCAGTGCTGTTCCACAAAGAGATTGAATAAACAAGTTGAACTGGAGTTTTATCTCCTGTGCAAGAAGTATTGGGCAAGTTTGTTTGCAGCCTGACTATCGAGGCTTCATTCACGTAAAATAGCAGTTTAAAGATGAGTGGTTCCCTTGCTGAGGTGTTTTCAGCATTGTCACCTTTTCTGGGTGTGGCAAGCTGTGATAGTTTAACTTGGCTGGCACTGTCTGAGCTGTCCTTAACCAGGACACAAGCAAACCCGTAGGTGAGGCTGCTGAGAAACACGGAGGTTGCACAGATATTTTTAACTTGGTAAGTGCAGGCTAATATGAGGATGCTGAAGGCTGATAGGGAGAATTAATAGTAAAATGAAGCTGACATGGGCTTTGCAAAACCTAATGTAATAAAGAGGCTGCCTGTTACTTTTACTGAGCTGGAACAGTTTGGAGAGCTTTTATTGGTGTCTAGATTCTGTCAGCTTTTTGTTGGGTTATGTTAGGAATATGTGCATTAGAAATTATGAGAAAACATGTAATTTGTGTAACATGGATGTCACGTGTTTTGTGACACCAACTTGGCTTATAGTGGATATTAAATAGTTCTATCAATAGCTGTGCTGCAGAGTGAAAATACTGCAGAGGGCTGTGCTTGCTTGAACTTAATCCCTTGCTGAGAGGAACCAATTTGTGTCCCTGATTGTTAGTCAGCTCCCTGGGAAGCAGTGGCTGTAGCAGTCTCTTGCTGTGTGTTGAAGAGGGCCAGGGTGTTTCTGATTTGGACATGAGTAGCCAGCTGAAGTGGCACAGTGTTTTATTACACAGACTTGGGGAAAGGTTAAATATATCATTTGTAACTCTGATATTGTGTTCAGTGTTTGAAATGCCCTGGAACTGTCTGGGTTTTGTGATGTGTGTGACCTGCACATTGTTGTAAGGACTGGTTGGGTTGTTAAATACAGTATCTGGGGATGGGATATGAGACCTCTGGGCTATGAGGAGCAAGTAAAATGGCATTGCCCCAGGGTTTTTTGTTTGCTTCTCTCCTCCTTCTTGTCCTCTGCTCACTTAGGAAAGCCAGTGCAGGTGAACATTGCAGTGTTTCCAAGTGGGATACCAGAAGGTTGTCTCAGTACATGGACTAAAGGGGAAATCACTTTTATGGAATACACTCTTCATAGTGAGAAAGTGATTTGTGGAGTGGAGACTAAATTCTGACCCTGGACACTTTTTCCTTGACTACAGGTGCTATTTAAGCTCAAGTAACCTTCTTGGAATAAGAGATTTCCAGACTGGGTTTTGAAGGTGTCTCACAGGAATGTCATAGTACCCTCTAAAAGATTCCTTTGGAGCTCCTCTGTAATCATTAAAAGTTTGTTGAATTGTATTTCTCAGTAGTCTTGGTTCAAACTTTATATATATAAAAGCAGACTTTTCTGTTGTTCTTCTTGCTAACTTTTAACCATTCTTAAAAGCTGTGCTGTGAGGCTAGAAATATACGTGCTTGTGTGGTTTGTGGGTTCTTTTGTGTTTGTTTTTTTGTTGTTGTTTTGACCCCTTGACTTAGGAAATGAAGTCTTGCATCTGCTGATACTGGTTAGAAATTTAGTAGTCAAAGGCCTGAAGTATCCAGCATTATTAAACATTTATTTTTGAGGATTAATTATCATGTAAGATTGTGATGGGCTTTGCAATAAGCATTAAATCCGAATATTTTTTTTTTCCTCTTCAGATGCAATCTTCATGTTTGCTAGAAATAAGACTATTTAATCAAATCCCCTTTCCCCTTATCAAAATTGGTAGTTAGAATTCATACTAAAAGCTGAATAATGTGTGTTTGTGAGGTTTTATGGTTTTCTGGTCACTTCCCCACCCCTCAGTGGGGTGACAGTCAATGTATGTTCTTTCAGTCTCTTACTCTTCCCACTTTTGGATTTTTCATTACAAGTGAAATGCTTCACAGCCTCTAGTCAAGGCAGAAGAGAGGATTGCTGGCCTTCACAAAGCTGAGTGGCTTCTTTAGTGCCAAGAGGCATAAGGTAGCAATATACCTTTGTGAAAGAGGCTGAGTTGATTTCTTGCAATTGTGTAATTTCTGCCCTTGTGTAATAAACTGCAGCTGCACTCAGGTGTTGTAGTGAGATCAAGATCCCTTGGTGCCTGTTGGAGCTGCACTGGTAGCACTAACTGTGTTCATTCATGAAGGGAATCGCTGTGAGCTTTGTCACTCAACGTGAGGGATCGTGGTCAGTTCACATGGTGTGATTAAAAAATGCAAGCTTTTTGCTTGGGTTTCTGATCATGACTGCTCTTGGAAGGCAAGACAGGTTCTGCTGGTTTCTGCCACAGGTGTTGGGTTTAGGTTGCTTTGGAAAATAGAATCATAGAATGGTTTGGATTGGAAGGGACCTTAAGGATCATCCAGTTCCAACCCCCCTGCCAGCAGCAGGGACATCTTCCACTAGATCAGGTTGCTCAAAGCCTCATCCAACCTGGCCTTCAACACTTCCAGGGAGGGGGAATCCACAACTTCCTTGGGCAACCTAATGTTGTGGAAGAATGTTTTGCTGGCCATCCTTGTCAGCAAAGCAGGAAGATATGCTGCAGGGAAACAGTTTGGTTGTAGAGAATCAAGCTTTAGAAGAATGTCAGTTGCTGCCAGTTGTCACTGTTACTGGCTTGTCTGTACTTTTAAATCTGGAGAGGAATAATGGCTGGTGATACTTCAGTAAATGCAGTTATCTATTCTCTGACTGCATGTTGTTTTACTGATTGAGTGTAGATGGATTTCATGTGATTGTGTATAAAGAAGGCTTTAGAAATACTCCTTCCCTTGGAGTTGTGATGTATTTTAATGTTTCAGTTGTGGTAAAAGTAGAAAACAAACCTTGAGCTGGGATTTTGCACCCTTACTGGAAATATGTTGACAAGTGGGGAAAAAAGTTACTGTTATGCTTGTATGTACTTGGACTGTGTGATTTTTCTGTGCTCCAGAGACAGGGAGATCTCTCTGCTGGGAGTTGAGGAATTCCTTCTAGAGAAGAAACATCGTGGTTCACATAACACAGTCTTTACATGCATGCCAAAGCTAACATGTGCTGTTTGTGGTGCTTTCAGGAAAGGGAAGTCAACATCCCTTTGGTGCCATGAACCTCCCTCAGACGCCAACGGTGGCCCAGATTGGAATCTCAGTGGAACTGCTGGAGAACCTGGCCCAGCAGACTCCCGTTGCAAGTGCTGCTGTGTCATCAGTAGATTCGTTCACGGAGGTAGCTTGGGCATTTTGTTTTCAGAAGTTCTCTGTACTATGAAAGTTTTAAGAATTGAGCCTCTGAAGAACTAATTAAAAAAAAAAAGCTGCTATGGGTTGCTAGAGGATTGTAACAAACCTAATCATTGGCAGATTGTTTGGCTGAATGCTTTGATATATTGAAATTACTTTTTCTTACACTGGAAAACTGTCTCCTTTAAAGGACTAGATTTTTTTTCATGCTCAGTGGAATCAGGCCAATAGACTCACTTGTGTTAATGTCACTCTACTGTAAAAACATTTTTGATACTTCCTTACAGGAGCAGCTATGACTAAATGCATGTGAGAGACAGTGGATCTTTGGTGATTTGTAGGTGCTGGAACTCAAGTGCACAGACTTGCAGGGATGGTCAAAACTTACCCAAAAGTCAAGGCAGACACAGGTATGGGTGCAAACAGATATCCAAGTGCACCACTGAGCCTTGAGAAATGCAGAACTACAGAGTCATGCCCTCTCCTACAGAAAGATGGGTTTTGTTTTGTTTCTTTCCAGTTCCTTCCCTGTGGAGCAAGCCTTGGGCTGCAACACTTGCTATTTTTTACCCACCCTGTCTGTTCATTTGAACTTGTGACAATCCTCAGCCAGCACTGGCAGTTAGTTGGCCATCTAACAGCAGTTCCAGGCAAGCTAAATCTGCATGGCAGGTCTTGATTTCCCTGACACTGACAGCTCTGGCATTATCCTTTAGCATTTCAGCAGCTGATGAGCCTTTCCTTGAGGCTTTTTTTTTCTTGCTCCCCTCCTTATAGACACTTCCTGAGGTAGATTGGTAATTGAACAGTGATCCTGATAATGTAGCTGGTGTCCTTTGGCAGTTGATACACATAATAGCTCCAAATAGGTCAGGTCTCTTGGAGAAAGGTATCATGACTAGGAGATGACTGACAGCTATTTTTGTCTAGTGCAGTTAATTCAGCTTTTCTGGAGTTGTTGGGGGCAAATGGCATCTAAATAATATTTCTGATTCCACCAATTTCTATAATAGCTGTTAAGTCATGAAGTAAGTGTGCCACTTGAGGTGGATTTTTCTGTCAATAATATTTAAAGAAAGGAAAAAAAAAACCCAAAAACCAAATTCATGATTGCATAACTTTTTTACAAATGTTATTTCCAGTTATGTGGATTTTTCTATTAAAAAAGAGTAGCATCTTAACTGAAATTGTATATTGCTTTCAAGGAAAGCAGTTGAGCCAAAGGTTGAAGTAATAGCTACTCCTATAGAGAAAATATATAAAGTTAGAGTTGAAGGAAACCTTTGAGGGAGTAGATAGCAGAGGAAGGGGATATGACTGGGAGCATGTTTGTGAATGACTAAAAACTTTTATTTAGTATTTGACATCATCTCTTTGAAACTGCTACGTTATAGCAGTAAAAATATTTTTTTAAAGGCAAAATCATCTGTTGCTACTTTAAGATAAGGGATTGCTCTCCCACTACATTTTTAGTAAGTTTTATGAAGCCTTAGGATTGTGTATATATATATATATTTTATATATATA